CATTCAGTAACGCAGTGTAGATCGATGGGCAGAACATTTTAAGGCTCAGTTCAGCCGGCCTGCGTCAGCACAAGACCTCCCTACACCCGATTCAACTGTGCAAATACTGCCAGTTAACATCGGTCCTCTATCTGTAATAGAGGTTACCCGAGAAACAAGCTATCTCAAAAGGTACAAGGCTTCCGGCCCCGACGGGCTATCCCCATCCGTTTTTAAGGATAGAGGTCTAGCCTTGACTTTGGAGTTAACAAAACTCCTGGGCTCAGTGTGGAAAAAGGAACAGGTTCCGACTGAACGGTGTGAATTGGTAATCATACCGATTTACAAGAAACGTGACAGACCCTCCTGTGAAAACCACAGAGGGATTAGATTAATCAACATTGTCTCTAAACTTCTGGTCAGCATCATACTCCGTCGAGTGTCTGTCTCACGTAAAGAGTGCACACGTAAGATCCAGGCTGATTTTAGACCTGATCAAAGCTGTATAAACCACATCTTCACTCTTTGTCAAATTCTAGAACACGGACACTCTTTTCGTAGATCCACCATTTCCATTTTCCTCCACCTGAAAGCGGCTTTCGATTCAGTCAACCGCTCTAAACTCTGGCGCTGTCTTTCCCTGAAGGGTGTGCCCGAGAAGTTTATTTTAATATTATAATCCCTCTATAATAATAGTCGAGGCCGACGCCGAGCTTACGGCACTTTATCGCCCGAGTTCATCACGGAAAGTGCTGTTCAACAGGGTTGCCCTCTCTGTCTCTCCGTTTTTATTCAACTTCGTGATAGATTCAATTCTTGAAACAGCCCTATCCTCGTGCGAGCATAGCGGTGTCGAGTTACTTACAGGTGACAAACTGTCTCATCTAGAGTATGCAGACGATATTATGCTATTAAGTGAAGATTCAGGTAAGTTGCAAGCTTTTCTGGATAGTTTGAGTGCTGATGTAGGAATGTTCGGCATGCGCTTTGCACCTTCAAAGTCTAAAACGCTACTACAAGATTGGGTTGGCTCAGTCCCCAGCCTCACCCTGACCGGGGAAGTTGTAGAGCAAGTAGACAAATTTTGCTATCTGAGCAGCTATATCTCACATGCAGGTCGCATCACAGATGAGCTGGACACTGGACCCGAAAAAATGGCGATTTTCACACACCACTCAGTTGCCTTGCGGGACAGGCCTTGAATAGCCGACGGTTCCGGTTGTGAATTCCCCGAGAAAATTCACCTACTTTGGCCAAGGCAACCCGACCGTACCGATCCCACGAACAAATCGTGCACTTGCTTTTTAATAAATATTATTGTACCACAATTTGTTTGGCACTTTGTTAGAACTCAGATGAATGTGCAAATTAAACAAATAGATAAACGATAAAAACAAGCTGAGACGAACCAGATTGGTGAAAAAATAGCCAGCCTGTCCGGAGTTGAGCCGTTTCTGATTGGCAAACCGCATGATAAACTGCAAATTGGAATGCAACAGAGGCGGATTCGCGGACAGGACGACCCAGATCAGAGTGGGCAGAAAGTCGTCAGCGTTCGCGCTATTCACATTGCTCGTCTGTTCCTCCGCTTCCGAGCCCAAACGACCTTCTGTATTGACCGATGTGGTCTGTTCTGCTTTCTGTTGTGCATTTTGAAAGTGAATTTTCAGTGCATCAAATACGCTCAGACAACACTGGACAATTTGAGCCAGTTTATCCTCAGACGCGTAGAGGGAGTTCATTTTTATCAGAGCTAGAATGCGAGGGTGGAAGAAGGGGGCGGGGCGGGGCGGGGGGAAGAGCAACAGGTCAGAATAGTGATTTAAAAAGGATGTATATTTTGAAACGTGTATCATAGGTCAGTGATATTGCATCAGTGATGGGCTAATAGAAGTAGAGAAAAACTCAATTGTTGCGTTTCATTACAGTCCGAATCAGGATTGTCTCTGCACACGACCGGATACAGTTGTGGTATCGTGTAAACCAGATGAGCGTTGTGCAATTCAAGCAAGATGAACTGAGATACACTTGTTGAACTCTAACGGTTAAAGATGTGTGTGTTTGTGCGTGCGTGCGTGTGTGTGTGTGAAATGAGCAAAGATGGGACGAAAACAAAAAGTATGTCACATAATCTCTACGTGTAAGACGACGCAAAAGTTTTGAGATAGTGATGCGTGACACGAAAAGATATTGACGTGGAAAACCACTGGGAAAGAACACAACAGGACTCCGGGACAAGGCGTACAGGAAGGGTAAAACACAAATAAACTAAAAGTTGTCGGGCACGAGACTTGAAACTGGCGAATCAACAGATTCTGCCGAAATGATCGATCGGAACTGATTACGTGCACATATTTCACACCGTCAATTGTTTGTGCGGACAATACTGTCAGGGTGCCAAGGTCAAAGCCACAGATTTCTGATGGATTCGTAATAAGAGATTATAGATGTTTAAAGCCTAATCCACAAAACGGTAAGGTGATGTTCAAAAAAGACAGCTGATGACTTCGGGGTCTACTTAAATGGATTCAATGTTCAATGTTCAATGTTCTTCAATTAGAGGCAGAGGGTAATTTCCCGTATGAGCCTCATCACCACAGACTCGAAGATCTCATTCATGATAGATCTGCATACCCACATTGTTCGCAGGACGCTGTCGAGCTTCGAGACATCTAAGACAATTTACATGCTTGTTTTTTGTTATGATCGCATGGATTAGTTGTGATAAGCTTCTCGTACAAAAGCGAGTGCACAATTAGTGAAATAGAACAAAGCTGGAAGCGTATAGAAATTTCTTTGTGTGAAAAGGCCTGTTTATTTGTAGGAAAGAGGGAGGGCATGCGAATGCACATACAAAACGATCCGTTGAATGGATCCTTGTCAGCTGCTTCAATCGACTGTCACTTGACCAATCACCAGAGTTCGGTTATTTTGTTCTAACTAATTTATCCCGGAACATAGCAGTTTTCAGAGAGTGCACCGACTCCCTGACATTTGCCTCATGTTTATGGTACTCTCTCTTATTCACTAAGGTGGGAGAGTGAAAAGCCAATTCTCGGGGCAATGAGGTATATCGATCGCCCGGTCGGGAGGACATGGGATATAACCGGAGTGAAGTTTCTTTGGGAGCGAATACTACAAAGAACCACGACACTTTAACGTAGTAACGAACACGAACTGTGAATAATGATCCCCATTTCATTTGCCTTGGTGCCGACAGGCTTTTTGTATGAGACTTGAGGTTAGACACTATTTTTCCTAAAAATAATCTCTGCACATGGATAACCAAGTCGTACCGCGTGCTCGCTTGCGCACCATCAGTTGGAAGGCGATGAAAAGTTCAGTGAATTGAGTAACCAATCAATGGACCGAGGATGCAAACTTATTACCTCGCATATTTCACTCCGATATTTAATTATTGGCGGTAAATTTCACTCCATTTTTATTTGATATCACGCACTCTTTTCATGTCTTAATTACCGTGTTATTAACACTATAACATTCACATATATAACTATTTTCAACTTCAGAAAACACAGGCTTTATGCATATCGGAAAACGCTATATGAATAAACATAGATTGAGCACGACGGTGGGTCAATGAGTACGGGACGCCAATACACTTGGATAGGTTCAAAAGTCGGGGACTTTAACCTTAGTTGCTTCACACTCAACAAATGAAACACAAATAAAACCGAACTTCGGATTTCATGTCTCCCAACGACGACGGTGTAAAGAACGACACACACGAGTTCTGGATTGTTTGAATTCTTATTATGGGCGGCTTAGTGAAGCTAACGCTTATCATATCGTATAGGATTTTAACAGAATGTCTCGGACAACTTTACAAATAGTAATTATTATTATTAATAATAATATGCAAGACTATTCACAGATGTTGAAATGTTAAGTATTTCAATGTATATCAAGCTGCGATTCGAAAAATTCAATTGTAAGAGCAAACAGAAAATGGGATAGAAGAGAATTCCATACGCCGCGCAATCTAGGTGAATGTTCGGGGCCCTCAGCTTTAATGGATGTCTTTGAGATGATTATTTCAGATTAAGTCAATACAGAACGACAATGGTGATTGGGTTGATGCAGCATGTGTGTGGTATGTCAAGTTTACGGCCTAAAAGTAGACGATACTGAGACGAAGAAAAAGGCCTGACATTGGCAGTCTTCCGGAGTATGCCTTGTTATACAGACCTTTTACTATTTCGATGCCAGCATTTGCGGACATTCTAGAGCTTTCTTATCGCTGTTTAACCATGGATCCCGTACTTGAACGGCGTATTCCGTGTGTGGTCGAATGAACGCTGAAAACAAGCGTGGGAACAGTGCTATTTCGAACGGCCCGAAAGCTTGCTTAAATAATCCAACTTTGCTTTAGAGCCATAGATGA